CATTGTTTTCCTAAAGTGTTGGCAAAGGAAGGAATAGTGTTGTCTTAAAATTTTCTGTCTTGCTAGACTGCCTTTTTGCTGGTCCTTTGGCTAGAGAGGGCAGGCTTTGTTGGGCCTTTGTAAAAATCTGTGTTCACTGGCATTTTCTGAGTTGTAGGCTTTTTCAGTCCCAAGTCTGGTATATATGAAACCAAATAAACAAACAAACAAAAATAAAACATGGAATGCACCCTAATGTCCTTCCTTGGGTCCCAAGGTCCCTAACTAGGCTGCCTCCTTCCCACTTTTCAGTCTTCTTATGTTTGTTATATATGTTGAAATAATGTCCAGGGTTTTCAGTTGGGAGCAATAGGAAAAAGTATCCCTTCTATTACTCCAACTTCCTGGAAACAGAAGTCCAAAATACAATGTTTTAAACACTAAGGTATTACAATTGAATCTTTTTAAATACTTACCAAAAGGCTTTGGTTTCCTTTTATCTATTAGCTTCTAAGTGGATTTCTGGGATATACAATCATAATTTCATTTGTGGATACAAAAAAGAATTTTAATCTGATTTAGTTGTAGAGAGAAAATATCATTTCCTTTCAGTGAGTAATGATATCAAGATGATATGTAATTCCTTATCAGGTGAATTAGATGTGAACAAATCATATTAGATGCATGAAGGTGAAAAGATGAATAAAAATGAAAACATGTAAACTTAGCTCTGCTTTGAATGCCAAAGAAAGACTAAAACAACTGGAATATTTTGTTTTATCACAAGTGAATAATGGTGTGTTTGCCTAGTATAATGCTATAGGTACCATCTATTATTATTTCAGCCAACTTTAAGTAAGGAATGAAATAAAATCATTCTATTTCAATTGCAGGTACTCAGATCTATAATAACATGAGTCTCTGTTCTGTGCTTTTTATCCCATTAATTCCATTCATAAAGTCAAAACTCCTCCAGAATGGGGCCTGAACATAATTCATATCTTCTCAGCTCTTTTCTGAGCTCTGCTTGGAAGATGTCCTCTCCACCTCTCTCCTTTCCCTTCTTTATTCCCTTTCAAAACCCTCCTACCTTTCAAGGTCAAACTCAAAAGTACCAAGCTCTATCCTACTCTGAGAATGGGTTTACAGTTCTTGGGGCCAGCAACACTTTAATTCATTTTTAAAGAATGAGTTAAAATCATTCAAGGTGTAAGGTGGAGTGAGGAGGGGAAGGAGGAACATTAGCATTCTTAGTTGGCAGAATGGAGAAATGAGTTCAGGAACAGAAGAGAGAAACTACCTGATATATGTCAGCAAACTGCCAACAGCTTACTACTGGCATCAATTCTGACCAAGAGTGTTGGAAAATGAAGCTAGAAAGGAAGTCAAATATCACATCAAAAAGGATTTGTATTCCATGAAAAATTTTATACTTTGGTAGCTGGTGCTCCTTAAGCATGCTGCATAGAAAAATAGCAGAGTGAGAATTGCAATTCGATATGCAGCCGAAGCCTGCTGATCATGGCCTTAATCTGCCTTACAGTTTTGATTTCCATTCTCTAGTATGAGGTCCCCGTACTCTCATCAGATGTCACTACTGGCTCTTTCCTGAACATAACCCATACCTTCCCTGCTTGATGATCTCATTTTGGAAAAACAAGCCCCACTTTATTTCTCATCTGCAGAAATACAAATAACATTCTTCCAAGGTTGGTTATGAGGATTAATGAGCTAACATATGAAAGCATCCAGTTTACTGTCTGTCACTTAGTAGACATAAAATTTTTTCCTTCCTTCTCATAATTTACCTAAATCTACTTCAAATTACAATTATTTGTATCCCTGCTACAAGATTGAAAATTCCTTAAGGCTAGCACTAAATCTAAAACAGTGGCTCTAACTGGGTGCAATTTTGCCCCTTTAGGGACATATGGCAATGTTTGGAGACATTTTTGGTTGCGTCAGTTGTTGACTGTCTTGATTGTAGGATGCTACTGTTTAAACAACCTACAACACATAACAGCTCCCACAAAAATGAATTACCCAATCCAAAATGTCAATGGTACTGAGGTTTAGAAACACTGGTTTATTTCATCTTTGTAGCCCTGGGAGCAATTAGCAGAGTTGCACATTATAGGAGGCATTCAGACTTGTTAGAAATGATTTGAAACCCCTTTTCTGAAGGTAAATTTTATAAATTGCTGTTGGGGAGTTAAAATTAAATTAAAAATTTATCTGGTGTAGGAAAATTGAAAGATAGCAGGGTTTATGAATTTTGATTAATATGGAGGAAACAAATTTCCATTTGTATTTAAAGATGACCAAATTAAAAGCTAAAGTTCTCTTAATCAGCAAGGTTGTGTAACAAATTGCAGCAGGATTTACTTTTATATCAAAGGAGCTCCCCTGATAGTTAAAGAATGCAACTGAATACAATTAAAAGATTACTAGTAAGCAGAATGCAGTGCCCTTAGCTGCATTCTGGGAGAGTATACTTAATAATCTAGAATCTAGTCACACTTTAATGAGAAGTTTAAACTTATTGGCCCTGAATTTCAGAATTTGTCAGTGCTTGCTACCTAGACTTTAGTTTTGAAAAAATGAAGTGGTAAGTGAGAATCAAAAGAAAAGTTTGTAATTAGGAAGAAAATTGCTTTACAAATAATTCAATAAGTATTTAAAATGGAAAAGAAGAGCTAAACTATTGATAAATCTATTATGTAGCATTTAGCCACATATGGTAAGAACTTAATATGGAGGAAGAGGTGAAGGTATTAGCAGCACCCAACCAAACCCATAGGCTCTTGACCTAACCATAGCCACAAGTACTAAAGACAAACAACCCATGGGACTCTCACTCAAGGAAAAGAGCACTTTCATGGTCCTTGTGGATAAAAAACTAAAAAGTGTTAGTACAGTCTCTATTTTTCCAGTACCCATGAAAATGCTCAAATTGCTATGTGTTTTCTTCTCTGGTCAAATCAAACTCTTTGCTAAAGCCAAATGTGAGACGCTGGCTTTTAACTAGTACTCTGAACTCTAAAAATAAGACTCATAAAAACAATGATCCTGATGACTCTATTATATAAGGAAGTAGTTCTTACTATCACTATTTTATTTACAATACTAACATATAATTCAAAGATAAACAGGCTGATTTGATGATTTTTTTCTAAAACGTTTTTTATTTTTATTTTTTGAGTCAGAGTCTCACTCTGTTGCCCTAGTGTGAGTGCCGTGGCGTCAGCCTAGCTCACAGCAACCTCAAACTCCTGGGCTTGAGCAATCCTTCTGTCTCAGCCTCCCGAGTAGCTGGGACTACAGGCATGCGCCACCATGCCCGGCTAATTTTTTATATATATATCAGTTGGCCAATTAGCTTCTTTCTATTTATAGTAGAGACGGGGTCTCGCTCTTGCTCAGGCTGGTTTCGAACTCCTGACCTTGAGCAATCCGCCCGCCTCGGCCTCCCAAGAGCTAGGATTACAGGCGTGAGCCACCGCGCCCGGCCTAAAACGTTTTTTAAAAAAGAAAACTAATTCTGCTAATGTAGCATCAGTGGTATTCACATTTATCTCTTGGTGATATGTACTAGTTCAGAGACCACATTTGAGGATGGAAGGGCAAGAGGTGCACATTCCCTTTCACCCAGGATCCAAAAACAAAAGCCCTTGAAAAATGTGTTGCATAGGTCTCCTCCCCAACTGTGCCTGCCCAAGGTGGGTCACTGCTGCCTCTTCTTCTGTCCAGGATGACCACTGTTTTATTGCATGGGAGGCCTCTTTGGAACATAGTTAGAATCTGCCAGAACGTGCTGTCTCTGTCAAACCCAAATTAGAGATTTGCTAAAATTATTTTTCACTGGGCTCCTCTTTGTCTCCAAATAGTTTTGTAGTTATTAAACACTATTAGTGTACCTTCTGACTTAAAATGTTCCACTCATATCCTCCAGAAGATTGCTGTCACCTAATGAAAAACAACTTCATTAGGCTTATCACAACAGCTCCTTTTCTCCCTGTGCTTTAGCTTTCTGATTGAAGACTGCAGCCTTTCCTAATGTTCCCTTCTCCACACTAAATATTATCATGTGAGATCAGTACTCAGCCAGATCAATGCCTGTCTGAAATGTCATTGTGAATAATCTTCATCACTGTTCTGAGGACATACCTTTAAGGATTCCCCCAACAGGATTATTTTTTTTAAGTTACCCACTTATTAAGAAATTATATTCATCTGTTTCCTTTGACCAGCACTCACACTTTGACTAAATAAATATATATTATATAGATATTTAGGCATATAAAATCACTCAATATAAGGGGATAGATATCAAATGACTTTGCTGTCGGCCTTTACAGGAACTAATTTCAGTGAGAAAAGACTTCACTGACCATAGGGACTTTTTTTGTAGGATGTTTCAGAAAAGGATGACATGATGTGTGTAATCCCAAATTCAATGCACTGGTGATACTCCTTGTTTACAGGTGTCTACCTCATCACTTCTCTGTTATATGTCAACCTAATTTTGCTCTGTATGTCCTAGTCCCTGTTACAGGTCCAAATATGAGGTTTATTTTACTTACAGAGAGTTCACACAACATATCATAGAATCTCCTTAACATTTTTCTGATGGTCTGTGGGAATCCAATTTTAGAATCCTAGGCTCCAAGCTAATGAAAAGTAAACTAGAAGTTGATTGGCACAAATGAAAGTGTTAATCCATTAATGAATGGCTATAATTTTTTTTCTGTACCTAAAATACTTTGTTTTAGATTGCCCAGCAATTAACAAATCTTACGCATAAAAGCAGATCAGAGACAAACAAAGCAATATATTTATTTGTAAGACAAATCAACATCACTTGAATCAAGAATCCACCCTGGAGTGGAGCTCTAATCTCATGGACCATTTTGAAGCCCTGAGACTGGCTGCAAACTGCCTAGTTTTGAAAAGCCACTCCCCAGTGAGGCCCAGTTTCATTGCCTTTGCCTGATGTCTAAAGCATCTCTGTTTTGTTTCAGCTGGCAGGGTTCATCTACGCCTGTTATGTTGTGAAATGTATAACTGAAGAAGAGGACAGCTGTAAGTATTAAAGCTCTATTCTGTTTCTTTCAAGTTCAAAGCATCTTCTTCACTGCCTCCTACCTAGCTTTCCTATTCCTCAAACGAGATCCCCCAACATAGCATTAGAACGGAAAATAAGCCTTTTGTGCCCATCTGGCTAAAGTGTTTTTCATAAAAGTATCCAGCATATTGAAGAAATGGAGAAGCACCCATTTTGGAAACATACTACTTTTGTTTTCATTGAAAGACACTTTTGAAATCTGTTCCTCTTACAACAATTCTAATAGGGAATATAAAGGTGAGAATGGAGATGGAAGTGATGTTAAAATGTGGATAACTTGATTGTTCTCTTTTTATAGCCATTTATTATGTATTGGTAACGAATCAGTTTCACCTAGGACTGCAAATTCTAAAAATCAATAATTTCTAAAGATTACTAAATTTCTCATAAAACTGACTTAAGATTAATTCAGAGAATTTGTCTCTGGGAAATCAAATGGTTATGTGTCCTTTTGATTCTCAGTAATTGGCTAGAACTTCCTACGAAATGGCTAGAACTCTATGTCAGAGTTGACTAGATCCTGTGTTTAGACAATGGTACCCTCTTACAAGCCTCAAAGTGGCTCCATGGTCTTATGCTCTTCCAAATGTGGAGAGTAGAAGGCTTCAATCCTTCCTTCCCCCTAAGGATTTGAAATAGGAAGTCTGGAAAAAGTACTTCTTTTCTGTCTGGGGACTATTATGGATATTTGTTCATGCAGCTATATTTACTCCAGAGGAAAAATCAGAATCGGGAATCATTTTTCTTGATTTCCAAAAATATTTATAATAGTGGGTTTTTGAGACTGTGATGAAAAAGGAAAGTGAGAATACACTAAATGATTTGAAGAAAACATCCGAAGAGAAATATACGTGTCTTTTTTACTTTCCAGTCATACTGGAAAAAAAGAGGCAGTATTAGGTGATTAATTTAGAGGAGGTGCTTTTACAATCATACTCATACATGACATAAAGTCATGAATACACAGTACCTAATTTATATTATTTTATATGCCCAAAAAAATGGTGGTGGTCCTTTCACTAAATAATCAGTTGTAAAACACTCTTGAATGTATCAAGTGCTACGTCAGGTTTTGGAAATTTTAAGATGAGTCATACACTATATTTTACCTCTATAAACTTGTCAACTAGGAGGCAAAAGCAAACATGTGAACAAATAAATATAATAAAACTCTGTAGATTGTATAGTGTGTAAAGAAAGAAGAAAAATCAGGAAAGTTTTCATTTAGAAGGACACTCTTGAGCTTGGTCTTGAAAGATGAATAGGTATTTATTGGGTAGCTGGTGTGAAAATGAGGTGGTCCCCGGCAACAGGTGAAAAAGCACCAAGACATATCACAACTGGATTAATGTGAATTGTGCCCTGTGCTAGAGGCAGACACCCAGACAAGATTGGAAAAGCAAACATGGATGAGATAGTAGAAAAATAGGTATGAAAGAGTATTAGTTTATATAGTTCAATGGCAAATCAATTGGCAGGTAATTTACAAAAAGAGAAGAACATAATCAGGAATGTACTTTACAAAAATTATGTTGGCATCACTATGAAGGAAAGACTTGGGAATGGCAGAGATTAGGGAAAGGAACCCTAGTGAAGATAACATGAAAATTATTGCAGTGTGAAATGATGAGGATATGGACTCAGACCAGTATTGGAGATGGAGAGAATGTATAAGATTTCAGACATGCTGAAATGTGCTTGATGGGCTTTGGGTGGTACTGCAGTAAGGAAAAAGGAGGAGACTCTTAGATTCCTGAGTGTCTGGCATGAGTGCATGAATAGATGGAAATACCACTTGAGAAGTAGAATGGGAATCAGATCACCGGTTCTGTTTGGACAGGTTGAGTTTGAGATACCTAATGACTATACAAGAGAAGACATCTAGTAAGCACTTGTCTTATGCACAAAAAACATTTTTCAAATATTAGAAAGTGCAAAAGATATAGGGATTTTTAAAAGTATGGACTCCACAAACTATGTCAACTCATTCAGATATTACCATTCAATATCTGTGTGCCAAATCCTTGATGAAGGAAAAGTCCACAGTTTAATTTTTGTAGGGAAGTTGGGTTTTCCCTAGACTATAATGTTTGATTTCATTTTGCAATCATGCCAGTGCATTTTATCTTCAGACAATACTTATTGACACCCCAGGTCTCCTACATAGATAATTAGTATCTCTCCAGAATGACACCTCTCAAAGGGGATCCTAGAAATGCTAGTTACACAAAACACTCTGCTCAAAAATAGATTTCAAAGTGAAGTAAGTCTGACAGTGACACTTTACACATTTACATATTAACATCTCTGAGAGTACTGCAATAAATAAATATGTGCATGTTTTCCTAATCCACAGTTTTGTTTTAACCATATTAATTTGAATGAGCTATAGTGAGGCTAGACACTGATCAAAGGGAGAAATCAGAAAGAGTTTCACAGTTTTATTATACTCACAGTTCCCTGGAGTATGCAGGGACATGCCATGCAGGGTCACTCACAAGAAGGACCAGGGTCAGTCATGAGGCAGAGAGAGAAAGAGAGAGTAGAACATTTATTGTGGTTCCCATGAGAAGGAATCGGTGAGGAAGGATAGGCAGACTTAGGACAGGCTAGCCATGTTTGAAGCAGCACTCACAAAATTCATGTCCATTGTTACTATTACAGCAAGAGCTATGTAAAGTCTCCAGATGTTTTGGGGTGAACAGGGGCTTACCCGGGAACAGCTAGGGGTCATTTTGTAGGTTTCAAAATATCAGTTTATAGAAGTTAAAATTATGGTTAATACAAGTCTTCCAAATATTTTCATAAATAATCTTAATATTCTAGAGCAGGGGTCCTCAAACTTTTTAAACAGGGGGCCAGTTCACTGTCCCTCAGACCGTTGGAGGGCCAACTATAGTTTAAAAAAAACTATGAACAAATTCCTATGCACACTGCACGTATCTCATTTTGAAGTGAAAAAACAAATGGGCAAAAACACTATAGGGCCGTAGTTTGAGGACACCTGTTCTAGAGAATTAGAATTCCAGGGAATTTACCTTAGAGATTTCTGTCCTCAATCAAGTTTGAGCCAAACATATGTAAATACAAGGAGATTTGAAGTCACCAATATCTTTTGGAAGATCAAGTTTATCTCTCAAGGATCTAATAAGCTTCTTTCCAAAAGACTCCAAAAAAATAATGTGTGTGTCTTTACGTGTATTTGACCCCAACTCTTTATCTGCCTTTATCAATCCAAAATACAAGCAGACTTCTCATAGACAAGTTTACTAATTTTAGTCTTATTGTTCAGTGAGCAAGATACGAACTTTTAAAAAACAATTTATATCCAAGTAGACTGACAATTACCTTAGATGTTCATGGGATTAGGGAACAGCCTCAGTAAGATGCTTATTTGGGCTGGATCCCTGTCCTGTGGTCTTTGGTGACTTCCAGTTTTACTTGTGGTCATTCACACACATTCAGACAATTACGAACACTTGTTGAGTGCAATGCTTTGAACTGATATTATCTACCTATTATGATTGTCTTGATCACTTGTCTATATGTTCATTTCCAGACACTGCCTAGACATAAGACTTCCAGTGCTATAAAGAAGGTTTGAAATTTCTGTCTAGTTTTTGGTAGTTATATCATAAACAAAATTATCTTAATCCTTAAATAGGTTGGTGAAAAGTGAAAAAAAAAATGCTCTCAGAAAGCAAACCCTGAAGTATGGGAGAGGTTTAATGTATATATAAGCACTGAGAGGATCTCTATGTGTTTGTTTTTACCTGCTATGGATTTGCAATGAAACATCTTGATGGCAGTGCAGCGGCAGGATTGGGTGCTAGCTATCTGTTCACCAAATTGGTTGTTTCCATTTCCAAGAGCCTTCTGAGGGACAGAGGACAGTTTTCGTTCTGTAAGTGCTGAGAATGGACTGTGGAGATAAGGGCCCAATTATGGCAACTGGACAAATAAAGTATTCTTGAAGTCAATATAAAGCTAACTAGCTATGGGCTCTGTTCTGATACTTCAGGTCTCACAGCAGCAAGCACATCCAGGGAAGCTCGGAGAAAGAGGCAGAAACGTCCAGTGAGCAATGGAGAGAGTTCAAGCTCCATGAGCAAAGACACAAGCTTAGACTCCATGAAATAGCAATAAATCATCATTGAAATAGAAGGGATCAGACTCAGGCACATCAAATGCCTGAGAATTATTTTCCTTATTGGTCCTTTTAAATAGTATCTCATTACTTTTTCTAGAGCCCAGTTTGATTCATATTTATATAGACACTGTCTTTGTCCATTTGATTATCTGCTATAACGAAATAACTATAAATCGAGTGACTAATAAGCAACAGCAATTTAATGTGTCACTGTTCTGGAGGCTGTAAAGTCCAAGATCAAGGCGCCAACAATTCTGTGTCTGGCAAGGGCTCATTTCCAGGCTAATAGGTGGCACTCACTGTACCCTCACACAGTGGAAGGGGGCAAGGCAGCTCCTTGGGGCCTCATTTATAAGGTCACTAGTCCTATTTTTGAGCACTCTACTCTCATGACCTAATCACCTCCTAAAGGCCCCACCTCCTAATACCATCACCATCACATTGGTGATGAGGTTTCAATGTATGAATTTTGGAGAAATACAAACATTTAGATCATGGCAGACACTTTAATGCAAAGGTTTTTTCCCAGTGAAAAAGCCTGGACCTTGAAGTTTGTAACTTTGACCCATCAGTTACCTCAGCCAGAGCCACAGCCTGGCAGGCTAGCTGACTGCCCAACCCACAGGACACTACTGCCATCTGCTGTGCCTACCGGGAGATGACAGCAACTCAGAGCAGAGATCCCAAACAGATGTGGACTTTCCTTCCCCCTTGGATTAGTTGGTGAGAGATCCCATAACAACATACCATAGACTGAGCATTTTAAAAGCAGAGATTTATTTTCTCAAGGTTCTTGAGGCTGGAAGT